TTTGCACATCTCAGCAAGATTAGGCAAACAGCAGCTGTTTAAAATGACAGTCCCCTGTGTGCTCTCCTCTCTACGTGGTACTCTGTTAATCAAGAAGTGTTGACTCTTCCTGGGAGAAGATAAGTCAGTGATCCATCATAACTGCCAGCGTGTATGTTCATGAGAGAGAAACGTGAGGGAGAGAGAAGACCCACCGTGGGATAAACACAGTCCCTGTGCCACGTTGGCTTCAAAATGGTATATACTTTTTTAAAATCATATCTTCAGTGGATTTTAAGATGTTGGTTGGCATTAACTAAGCCAATGAGAGCTTCGACCATCTTAATCATTGATTGTTCTCCACACAAAATAATACAGTATGATTACTGTATTATAAATACTCAATTATTGCCCATGCTCAAATACATTTATAACATGAATTCATCTATAGATGGAGTGCCTTAGTCTTTTTCCATTTTATCTGCACCACTTGACACTCAGCAAGATATCCTAGATTTCTGTTTTCTGTAATATAGTAGGATATTAGATAGATTCCAGGGAGGCATGTTTAAATCATTCTAATACTTGTAAGATAACACATTTCAACCCTTAATCCGACCTGATGTGTAAACAACAACATCATTACTGCTGCTCTTAAGTCTCATGTTCAAGCATCTGGGTTGTGTCTGTTTTTATGAGAAGTGACAATATCAAAGATACATGGACATGATCCATAGTGTTTTTATCCGCTTAAGCTTCTACTGCCTCAAGCTAAAGCGGCACATTTCTACTTTAAAAGGCTATTAAAAGTTCAGTTCACATCCTCTAAAGCTGTCTTTAACTGAGTAACAGTATTAGAAATGTTCAATACGGTATTTTCCCCGCCAGATGGGACAGGCAGATTTTCAACAGTTTGAGTGGGTGAAACTGAAATGGCAGCTCAGTTTTACTATTATTTAGAAAAAGTTAGAGCTGTCCAAATACTGTAGGAGTGACCTGCTGACCTGCACGCTGGTCTGGAGAGGAAAACTGAATTGTTGAATTTAACACAGTTACACAAGTGTACCTGCAATCTCTCACACACACACACACTCACCTCATAAACGTTGAACTGGCTCTGCCCTCTGGATAGTTCTCTGTAGCTTGTGCTGAACTCTCCAATAAAGTCATGACTACAGAGGGAAGTGAGGAAGACACACAGCAAGAACATTTACATACATACGATACATTCCATTTAATTATTCAAGGGTGTATTCACACGTGTAGTTCAGTTCATTTGTTCCGGACCAGCGGTTTGTGTTCACACTGACTTTTTACAAACTAACCAGGAGGAGTAAACATGAAGTTGCACCCACTGACAGGTAACTCATTGATGGGACAGTTTTGGCGATCCTGCATCATTCAGGGATTATTACTGTGGGATGACTACATGAACTGACACAGAGTGGGACACAAGCACAGTAGGTTTAACAGCATTTGACTTATTAAACAGGGAAAATACCCGCACTGGCATGCCTACGTGTTAGCAAATATTTAGCATGAATATATACGTGGCTTATGAAGATAAATTATAAGATTGTTTCCTGTGCAGATTTCACAGATTTATTATTAGTTTAGCTTTTGCAATCGTTTTAAAATCACATATCTGTTATCATAAAACCCTGTGGTTCATTTGCTTTCACGCCACAAAAGATCTGCTCCAGAGTCAGCAGCAGACAAAGACCACAATTCTAGGCGATCTCTGCCTTCTTGTTTTGTCCCGCATCTGAATGTGATTGTGTCTTCCTATATGCCCAAATGAATCATGCCGAAGGGGTTAACGCTCCCGGTTTCGAAACACTTGCTCCAAACGAAACATGAGTGAATACACCCTAAGTCTTGTCATGTGTGAGTTTTTAACGCAAACTGAAGTGCTTTATATCCCAAAAAAGACAACTTATATTATTAAAATTGAGTGCAACAATGAGGTTTGTTGTTCGTGAACATGGAACAGGAGAAGACACCACTTTCATGTGCACGGACGACAGTTAAGACTAACACTAAAGCTCAGTTCAACCAGACCCACTTGTTAAAAATCGTAGAATTTCTCACTCCCATTGAAAAACACCAAAATGTTACTGTGTTCCCTCTATCAGATTAAGAGTGACACTGAATAGATTGAAAAGTATTAAGAATAGAGAAATAACTCCCTGTTCAAACTACAGCTTGACAAATGTCACTCCTCTTTCTTTCTGTCTGTCTGTTAGCAGCCAGAATCCAGACTCATCATTAAGCAGTCAATCTGTGACGATCGTGCACCCAGCTTGCTTACCTACTGGAAACATAGACAAGTGTTAATGATGTGTGACTTGGATTAGATTAGCCGTACACAGGAAGCTAAAGCGCTGATTGTTAATGTAATCAAGATAAGAAGTAATAAGGAAATGAATTGCTGTGCATTTATCAGTGTTCACAAGAATTGAGGTTATCATTTTACATTTGATTCATATCAACAACCTGCTATCCTCACGATCATATTACCAAACTTAATTACACTATAACAAACAGAACAGAACAGGTGTTGAACTATAAAGTGTCAGTCTACAAATCAATCTGTCGTCTAACTGGAGTTGTTTTGGTTTAATAATTGTTATTTTTGTGGGTGTTCAGACCAAAAACAGCCCTGCTTTGAAAAAATTCAAAGGGAGTTGCTTCAGGTACTGAGACAATGAAAATCTGATCCAGGGAGTCCAGCTGGAGTAACAGATCCACGAGACTGAAGACTCATCAGATGCACAACGCTGCACAGAGGTTTATAATATAATGAGGACAGATTTAACTCTCCTAAAAGGTAATTATGGAGGCAATCATGTTATCAGTAGAAATACAGCATTCACCTCGTAAAATAATCCACCATGAATGTGCGCTTGCCTGAAACATATTATGATGTGTTTTTGCAGGCTGTAATTTAAGGGATGAATGACAAAAATTAAAAATATAGGGGCAAATAAAATTGAGGCATTACCTGCCGTCTCTGTCCCAGTCGTACACCTCGACCTTGATTGTTCTGTTGGGAGAGACACAAGATGAGGTTATAGGAAGATTATAAAAAGAATGAGTCTGCTGGTATTTCTCCTGACATGCATTTAGTTTTTACATTTGCTGAGGCATCACAATGCTTGGTTGCGACATGCATAATATTTAAAAAGGTGTAGGATTATAGCAGCTGTGGCAACCAAGAACATTTACAAAAAGTATTACATACCAAATGCAATAAGTTTGCACCTCTAAAACAGGAACCATATCCGTTATTGTCTGTACTGTGCATATTGTATTCTTTATGATGTGTTTTAACCAACCTGCGAAGCCAAAGACAAATTTCCATATTTGTGGACAATAAAGATTATTATTATTGTTATTATGACGCAGCTGGACATTTAATTTGACTATATTTTATCCAAATAAACTGACTTATTAATATTCTGTGCTAAAGTGCTAAAAGGCTATCTTCTACACTGAAATTATAAAATATGCATTGATGTTGTGTCTTGTTTTGTCATTGTTGTCATGGAGCCATTAGGAGAAGCAGATCCATTCTAAAGCTTATCTTTATTCCAACACACTGTCTGCCTGTCACTGTATTTGCCTCTGGTAATGTGCTCTCCTCATCTCCAAATACATCTATTTCTGCATCCCATTATAGCTTACAAGGAAATGGGGGGAAAAAAACAGAATAGTCTGTAAGAGGCAGATATGCAGCGCTATCACTCTATCTACCAATGTCTTCAACAGAAGGGTCATTTCTCTCTGACAAAAGCAGAAGAGAGCGATATGTAGAGAACGAGAGGGGTGAGGCTAAAGGATAATAGAACAGACACTGATTCAAAACAGGCAGAGCAAAAGGCACTCTGCTGGAGAAGGGAGCAAGCAAGGGGAAGATGGTGTGAAAATGACTCAAAACTGACAGAAAATGTAATAAGAATAAATGGAGGTCACAGTGACACAATTATGTAGTACTCATACTCTACCAATCGATTAAGATGGTCTTTTTGAAAGAGACGGATTAAACTTGGCAAAATGTCATGTATTATTATAAATTTGTGTCCAAACAGTAGTATTTCATGAATTTTGTCTGACTTTCCTCTGAACTTACTGCAATTGATTTGAAAGGTACACAGCTTTCTAAAACAAGTGGTATCTAATTAAAAAAACCCAGCCAGAACTGCACTTTTCTCCCCCCCTTCTCATCTTACAATACGAGCAGAGGTGGAAACACAAACCATCATTAACGGGCCTTAGAGCTACTTACAGAGCCAGATGCACATTAGAGGAAAGGAGGCAATAAAGGGAAGGAGTGGGAAAGGGGCTGGCTGATAGTGATGGGCACTCTGGGGAGGAATGTGTCTCTTGGCTGGCGCAACACTTTCTCCTCAAGAGAAACCAGTATGTGCAAAGCTGTCTGTAGAAACATGTTTGTATATATATATATATATATATATGTGTGCTTACGGGCGTGTGTCTTAATCAGTGTTGTGACACATCTCAGTTGGAAACATCATGTCACTCTAACAAGTGAAATCATTGTCAATTTCCTGTCACATCATCAAGGCTCAATCTTGTGATCTCACTGCATGTGTGTGTGTGTAGGTGTGTGTGTGTGTGCATGTGTGAGTCTCTCTATTCATGGGTGCATCAGAACACCCATGAGTAGAGAAACCGTTCTCTATTGTTTGCCAGCTTGAGCTCATCCTTATCTCTTCTCCCAGGCTGCAGAGAGACCGACTCAATGTGTAAGTGTGTGTGTGTGTGTGTGTATACTGTATGTGCAGTCCACTGTGAGTCCCCCATTGATAAGGCATGGTGCGACTCAACTCCCCTAATAAGCTTATTGGACCAAACTTCAGATCGATGCCACTGTCTGCCAGCTACGCTAAACTAAACCCTATTGTCTGCTGCTATGGGCCTTTTTTACAACGCAGCTGCTGTCGACAGGAGATAGATACAAACACGTGAGGCAAGAGAGACACACTTTTACCTACAAATTTGTTTTCTCACTCGGACTTCCCCTGAGATGTAAAGTGCACCCGGTGTCCCCCACAGGAAGGGGGACTTTTTGTGATGCGAAACAATATTGGAGCTGGAAACACAGTTTGAAGTTAAACAGAAGGCAAATATGATGTATTTTAAGAGGCAACATAAAAGTGAAAATGCTTTATTTTATGGGTCCATGTTTTTTTGCAGGAATTTCAAATAACTTCCGAGATGTTTCCTGGCCATGTCATTTGGTACTAATTAAAAGGAACCCAGACACAGTGTTCAGCTGGTATACTTTGGATGAATTCATTCTAATTAACTGCTAATGTAACCGAGAGACCTTCTAGTCCGAGCACTGCAGGTCAGCCAAACATGCAAAATTCATCATTTTTATGAAGGCAACAGCTCAAACTCTTAACAAATTAATAATGAATGAGTATTTAAATTCCTATTTTCCCAAATATTCTTGCCAAAGTGAAGAAACTTTTTGTGAGAAATGTTACTGACATGTAAAATGAAAGAACCAGCGTGTATGATTTAGTGGTGTAGTTGCAGATTGCAACTCCCTCACTTCACCCTCCCTTTAACGCGCAAAGGAGAAACTTTGGTGGCCAGGAAATGTGTGAAGAACACAAACTGCCCTGTCTAGAGCCAGTGTTTGGTTTCTGTTCTGGGCTACTGTAGAAACCTGGCAGCCTCCATCAAAGGTGACCTGCGGCATCTGTAGATATAAAACGTCTCATTCCATGGTAATGAAAACATAACAATTCTTGTTGTCAGGTGATTCTGAAATTCATTCATGAAAACAAAGTTACGCATATTATATTCACCTCCTGAATGTTAAACACTGGACATTAAGTGTTGCCTAAAAAGAGTAGTGTAAAATGAAAAAAAAAAAGGAAAGTGGCTAAAGACCTGCAATTTTGTTGAAAATAAGATGAATGTTTAGAAAAGCAATTCTATCAGTTGTAAAGATAGCATCCTTTAAAACTAGCAGTAAGACTCCTGTACATCACAGAATCAGTAATAGTAAGTACCACTGACAGTTCCTGCATCCTTGGCAGTCCCAGGATCAGCACAACGGACAGTGCTCATGACCCTCTTTCATGGACATGATTCACCCTGAGCTGGAGGGAACCAGGAGGATGCTGATCTACTGATTGCCTTTCCATGTTATGTTCATGTTCACTGCTGAGCATGGTGTTATTTCAGATCTGCAAAGTTGTCAGTTAATTGTAGCCTTGCAGTGATCTAAATATCCAGATTGTCAGTCAGTCAGATGGAATTCACATTCATCTGAGCCCCTAACAACAATTCATTTAAAGTCTAGCAGGCTAGCAGTGAGTGCTGCCATTGCTTGCTTTAGAGCTTTAGAGAAACATCTTTCCTAAGTGTCTTGAGACGATTAAAAGAGCAGAATTATAAATTCCTGCCTCCGGTCAAATACGTGTCGATGCCACTTTTTTTCATTTTGTTCATCTTCTTGTTCATCACACAGTTTCATCAGCAAAACAGCCACACAAACACGTACCACATTCATACTCGTCATAGCAATTATGATCATAGGCCTTTTAAGGCAACTAGAGAGACTGTGTTTGGGGGTGACACTTGTTCTGGTACCAAAATAAATGTGGAGAAATGACTGCTTTTTGGCTCTTTGGTCATGTTAGCGTTACATGACAAGAGGATTAAAGCAGTCTGCTCCCTCCTTCTGTAAACCACTGAACTAAATATAAACTACACCAGCAGAAAATAATGTTACTTATCTGCCAAAAAGCCTGTGAATTATACCCCTGACGGTATCATCTAGATAAGACCGCAGGATTCGAGTGGAACCTCTATGCGGCTGTGTAGGAGAATAAATCACACCTCCATTAAAATGTATCAAAGTATTGACTTAAATAATTCTTATAGAAAACAAAGCTGTCCAACAATTTTCCAAAGGAAAACCAAATAGCAAAATCAGACATCCACACTTTGTTTTTAAGGAAATGTAACAAAATAATAAGCAATTTTTTTCTGCCAAATCATCTTTGCCCACCTGCTGAAACTACCACATACAATAATATTTCTTCTTACTGTAGTAGCTGAAAACAGCTTCATACATTTTTCATTGAAACTGCAATTCATTGAAGGCCATTTCCCATAGTGCCTTACAAAATACAGCGCAAACATCTTTGATAACGGTGGCGTAATCTAACCCAGCTCTTCGCAATGATACACCACAGTCGAACCCATTTATTTAATCACTCTCCCCGATGCAAGGTAAACAATAAAAAAGCTGCATATGCGAGTGTGCTTGGCTCATTGTTCATATCCCAGTCAGCCTAAACAGTCATTATGCAGATGAAAGAGTAGAAGCTGTTGTGGTGTGGTCCAGTACGTCTCATAATATTGAGGATATTCGGCTTTCTCGTAGTGAAAATTTTATTTGTTTTGAGCTCTACTCAGACAAACATGGCTTTTATGACATGAAAATAAATACTGGAGTTGTTTGGAACGCAACTTTGTGTGCCTAATGCAAGGCAGTAATAATTAATATATATTGGGGGGGACCAGCCAGTGGTGTTACGCTGTATATACTGCCTTACATGACATTTTTATTATTTGTGACAGAGAAAGTAACTCCCTGGTGGTTCAGAGGGTTTCTGTGTGGTTGTCTTCTATTTAAGTTAATATCTAATATATACAAAATGACTCACCTGTCATAATCACCATTGCAAAGAGCCCGAACGGGGATCTTAAAGGCCTGCCACACTGGGTTCAATGTATTCTTCACCACCTCTGTCTTGTGGCAGATGGTAAACCTGCAGAGAGAGACGAGGAGAGGTGGAGAGAGTGAAAAAAAGGAAAAAGAGAGGAGGGAGAAAAAAGGTTTGTGGGGAGAGAGGGAGTAATAAAAAAGGAAAATGAGTGGGAGTAGAGAAAAGGGGTGAGATTTAAGGAGTATGTGGTTGCAAAATACACATATGACTGGGGATTAAATAGAAAACAATACAAGACACTTTCCACTAACTTTCTAGTAACTGAGAATAACAGTGGAAAGCTGTGGAAACTACACTATTGCGCACATACACAAAAATACACACATAGGAACAAACTGCAAAGAGGTAATTTCATTAGTCCCTTGGCTAGCAGGTGGACTTGGTATCTTCCGCCCTCAGAGCACGAGGTCTTATCTGACTTGTCACACACTGCAGGATGGAGAAAAGAGCCCATGGAGCTGGATCGAACACTTACACACACAGACGCACACATACACATACAAATACCACAGCACTGCACTTCTTTAGTGCCCCCTGATTCCACTTACACACGCTCACATTCGTGCATGCATCGTGCACACATTTCCACATGTAATTCACACACATGCTTAAACAGGCAGCATGGCTTTTGATCTGTGGCAAATCAATGAAACCAATTTCCTTTGGATGCAGGGGAGGATTAAACTAAACATGAAAGGGGAGAAGGAAAGATGGAGGGTGAGTGAAGAGGGAAGAGAAGGGGGAGAGGGAACTCACGTGCCGTCCTCATTGCTCCTGTAAAAGACGAGGAAGGGGTCGGATTTGCCAAAGAAATCCTTTTTGTCCAACTTGTTCCCGCAGAACTGCATCATCACGGATTCCTAATGAGCAGAGACAGGAAAAGACACAGAGATACACAATAAGAATGCATATAGAGAGCAAACCTTCTCAGTTAGAGAAATGTCAATTTAGGGGACAAATCCACTTACACATATACTTGGATATAAAGGATACGATATAAAGGAGTGTCTATGATCACATCTGCAGCCCTTATTTCACTTTAAATCCTACTTTTTTTGTAGATAGAATGATTTCTGGTTTACTGAGGCTGCTGTTAGTCTCTCTTCAGTCGAAAACTGAATGACAGACTGAAGCTGTCTTTTAGTATTGTTCTATACTAGGTTTTCATTACTTAAAAGACTGTTCGACTGTGCTATGGAAACCCTAAAATGATTAAATGTGTGCTGAGGCTGCAAAAAGGACAACAATGGTGATCTATTAAAAATAAATATGTTATCAACTGATTACAGATAAAGAAAGAGATCTAGAAAAAGCTTTTCTCTTTTTTACCAACTGGCTGGGAGTTAATAGAAAAAAAACTTACACCAACTATTCTAGTGGGGATTTTGTTTTTGTTTAATGAAATCTTAAAATATTCAAACAAAGGTCACAGGGGCATTAGCCTCTCACGCCACTTGAGCTCAAGTCTGTAAACACACTATTTACACTAAAAATTCAGACCTACAGCTATGCCTCTAAAACCTCCAATACAAATGTCCTGTCCACTTCTACAGAGGAAGCACCTTGAGAGATGAAATGACGATGATGTGTGAGACAACCAGAGAAAGAAACAGATAGAGCTGATACTAGATATAGAAAAGACAGAGAAACACAACATTACATTAGAAAACAGAGACTTTTCAGGAAGGGTACGCCCGTCCTCACCCTGCAGTTGTTCAGCTCCTCGGCTTTCACGATAATGGTCCCGCATTTCTTCCCTTGAATGCCTCTGTACACATGACACAACATTGCAGAGGGTTAAGAGATCACAATCACATGCAGGTTGTTTACATCTACCGTCTTAACTTCAGAACAGTGTGTACAATAGAAAGAGGAGGCAGTGAAAACATGAAGTGTGTTTGAGAACAACAATACACATCCCAGATGAAGTTCCAGGCCTGATGGCGACCTTCCCACAGCAGGAAGGGACCCTGCATGAGTGAAATCTCAGAGTAGTCCCAACCACGTATGCGTATTTGTGTCTATTTATATCAGTGCCTTGTTTGTTTACTCAGTGATGCTCCATCCTGGTGCCGTGGTGTATTGACCACAGGATATCAGAAATTAGTAAAAAGGTAGTTTTTCTTTCCCCTCAAGAAACCGACACAATCAGTCGTGTGACATTTTTAAGTAATTGCGGCTGATTACACGCTGGGAGGGTGTTTTTTTGTGTGTTAATGTATGAATATCATTACTCCGGTTTCAGTGAAAGTACAAAAAAAAACAAAAAACACTGCACTGCATAAGGCATGCACCCAGATTTTGATTATTGGTCACTGGTCATTACTTCAAACTATCTATTTTAATTAGTTTTTTCAAAGAAAGCAGAACAATTTAGGATGTTAAAGATGGAGCATTTTAACTGGAGAGATTAGCTGTGACCGGGTAACATTATTGCCAACGTATTTGGCTCATCAGTAAAGATGAAACATCAGGCACACTTTAAACACTGCTCGTCCGATATGGCATTTTCATTTAATTTCTTTCAGAATTTGGCTTGAGATAACATTTCTCTGCTGTGCCTATCAATTTTGCTGATCAATATAAATGGTTCCAGCTGCTGATGAGGACTTCAGCTTAGTAAAATTTTGGGTAAAGTCCAACAGAACTCTTAAATGTGAAAGCACATTATGAAGTAAGACTTACTGGAAATGTCGTATTTATGAGCACACCCACTCTGGTTAGGAAGAAATCTCATGGAAAGTTTTACTAATTCACACTGCCTCAAAACATTTTCCAAGATACAAAAGGAACAATGTTGAGCACGAGGTGTTTTTTTTTGTGTGTGTGTGTGTGTGTGTGTGTGTGCCAAGGTATTTGGTTTGTACGTGGGTGTGTGTATGAGTGGACTTGCTGTTGGTAAGGGCAAGTGTGCTTGGGGGTGTGTTTTCACTATTTAAGTGGGTCGCTGCAGCTGTGGTAAAAGGTGGGGATAGGTGATGCAAGGGTGCGTGGGTGTGTATGTGTAAGCACTTTGTCTAAATAAACATCACAGTCTTGAAGGTGAACTCGGTGACATCATTTAAAACACCTCCTCTCATACAAACACAAACACACACAGACCTACAGGGTAATTTTACTGAGTAAAACAGCAAATGTTTCTTTTAGTCTGTTCGGAAACAGACAAGGGCAGACTGTTCGGCATCGGACTCTCATCCTCTCCTCTTTAACCAGTCCAACTCACACATTTACACACAGCTGTAATCTTTTATTTTCTTACTAGTAATCATATGCACGGATGGATTTTTATACCATTATTTATGGAACTGAACAAAAGATTTCAGTTGGACCTCCTTTTAAGATGAATAGGTTTGCTGTGAAATATGATTTATAGTCATGTTATGTCATTTAGTTTATGTATTGAGAAACAACTTCAACTTATATTGTGGGAATGAGCAACACTTTCTTTAAACCTTTCTTTAAAAGGTTTATTTGCTTTTGGCCGTTTATTGGCTGTAAACCCAAAATTGATACATTTCACCTAATGATGACATTGACATGGCTAATGTGTTAACTAAATTACAGTTAAAGTTACACTTATTGAGCAGACACAGAACAACATTAGCATACATTTGGAGTTCAGCAGTTTGGTGTTTCTGACCAATATTCACCTTGTTTTTAGTTCTCTACCAGCTACTGAGGGGAATATTTGGTTCTTTAGCTGCTAAATGCTCCACTGTGTGTGACATACGCTAAAAACCCCTGAGAGTCAGGTTCTCTGTGGGCTCTGTGGACCTTGACATTGTCAATACAAAAATATTCACAAGATTTAAATAGAAAGTTTAATAAAAAGTGTTTATTTTATGTACCTGTCTTGTTTACAAGTCAAAGGAATTCCAATTTTGTCGTAAGTATCCTGGTAATGCATATTACACTGAGAAATATAAAACTTACTAGAAAAAGTTTAAATGCTTATTCTCCTGTGAAGTTCTATTGTGGTTAAAAAGTGTATTTTATATGTTTCATACTCCATCACACACATACAGTGATAGTGATGCATCTACTCCCATTACAAACCTCAGACCTGAATAAGTAGTTAGAGGAAGCTATCTGTGCGTGGGCGGAAGAGCAGGACGACATAATTTGACATAACTTTTGAGAGGTCTTGCAATCCGACAAAGGGGCCTGTCATCTGATGAGCTCCACTCTAAGAGACCCACCTGGCAGAAATTGACTCAGGCAGTCATTTAGACAGCCCAGAATTGGGGTCACGGACCTCTGTGTGAATGTAATTCAAGCCTCCTTTTACAGCAGCCCAAGGAACTGGGGAGGAAAGTGCTTTTGAAATGGCAGACTTATCAAAATGAAATAGATCCTGGAACTGATGCTTTGCATTGAAGAGCTGAGGGATTTTTTTTTTTTTACTTGAAATAGCAATACTCTTATCTCAGAAATCTGACGATGGGAAGAACAACTAAAATAGCACCTTAGGGACAGAAGACACTTTCTCTTTTATCCCTTTTTCCTATTTCCTTTCATTTCCAGACAGCACAGTGAGGTGGGTCAGAGGATTTGTATTCATTAGGTGTGTAAAATGAGTAAAATATATTCATAGATATATTCAGAGGAAGACTTATTGAAACAAATTAAGACTGAGACGGTGAGGAAAAAGCCAGGAGGAGTGATAGAAAGCAAGACAGGCCTAATTCACCTGCCTGAAACAGCACATACAATCAAAGTTTCAGAGATCCACTGTAACCATTGGCTTCTGGGACTGAAAAGGCCCAAAACATACTCCATTTGATTTCTTGCATGTGACTCCACTATTATCTAAAACCAGTATGATTTTTTTGTGCGATGAGCAATCTACTTGCCTATGTGTATTATGTACAGTATGTATACGCCAGTGACTAAATGAGATGGGCCTCAGAGGTTTTGCTGAATTTGTAAGGGTCTTCAAGTTTGTGAAGCTCTGCCCTAGAAGATATTATGTATACTAGGGCTGCACAGTGAATCGAAATATTATCAATATCACAATATTACCAAGTGCAATATGCAAATCCCAGAAGATTTTTGATAAAGGTAAAATATGTGACAAAAAAGCAATATAGTAAAGTATTGCAGTTCTGAAGAGATGGCTTGTTGATTTAAGAAAACATGTTTGTTTTTTTTTTTAAATTTAATTTGTGATGCAAAAATGATCATTCAAAACACTATTTGTGAATCATATAGCAATCGCATTACGTTTTGCCATATAGTGCAGTCCTTATTGATACACAAGCACCAAGTGTTTATATCTTACCACAGGCATTTCATCTTACCTAAAATACCAGTAAAGTCCTAAAGAAATCCCAGTTAAGATTCCAACTGCAATGACCTTCTGTATTTTAAGTTGAGGGAGCTGTTTTGCTGCACTGTGGGTGATATTATGTGAAATATTTACCTGGGTATGCCCTTGGATTATTAAAATTCTTTAACCATCCAAATAACTGACGGGAAGTATGCATGTGCAAGTGAAGTTGGGTAAACAGTGTGTAAGAGTCTTATTTTGCACATTATTTTACTAGTATGTCCACACTGTGAAAGAAGAGGTTTTAAACTACAAAAAAAGCCCTTCATTCACAGTAAATACCATGTAGATTTTTGCACTTGACTCCATCCACTTCATCCAGTATTCAACAATTTAACAATACCATTGAACAGCTCTCTCTGGTTCCTATTACTCACCTTTCAGCGAGGACCTCTTTTACATGCTCTCCTGCTTTTACTCTTTTGGTCTATGGTTCAACAGTGGCAGCATTAAACATTGAGAGCAGCGTGTGTCAACAAGTGCAAAGTGGACACAAAAAGGTAGAGCCAATTAAAAATAATGAGCTGCGTGGGTTGTCAGTGTACCAGCGATATCAGCTACATATATCATCAGCCTTCATCAGAGCTAAACATAATGTTATTTCAGATCAGTGAAATTGCAGTTCACCCTCAAGACCCATTCACTTATGCTACTTCATATCCAAATACTTTTCAGAGGGAAATATCTTACATTTGACAGTGACAGATATTAGTCGTTTTACAGATTAGGATTTTACATACAAAACACGATCAGCTTGTAAAATATAATGCATTGTTACAGGCTAAACTACTCAACATATATGCACATATACACAAATATATATGCACATCGTATAAGTATACCACTTCCATCAACTACATCAGTAAAATGCTACTTAAGTGTTAAACAATTGGTAATAAGTCTGGTGTTGTTACTTTCACTTACAGTAGGTAAATGATCTGAATACTTACTACTAGAAAAAGGAAATGCGGTTACAACAAGCTAAAAATGAAAAATGCATGAAAACACATGCTTGAGAATATAATTTTACTTACCAGTAACCCATGACATTAAAGTTAGTCTTTTTAGTATAAAATTCCCTTTGTGTGTCATTGGAAAGTGTCCCCATGCTTAGCTGCAGTGGAGGGACATCAACCAAAAGAGGGAATTGTTCTAAAAAGACTAACTTTGGAACATATCTACTTGATTTGACTCACCCAGACTACGGAAGCCTCAAATTAACTTCAGGTTAATCTTTGAGCACATTTTTACACCAAACAAGCACTGTGGATTTTTCAAACTGCAAAACCTGTTTCAGTGAACATAAAACTGTTGTTTTAAGACCGACCTGAAAAACTGTGAACCTATCCTTTAAAGACCAATTTCAATAACATCAAAATAAATAGGCTACAACTGAATACACTTGAAAGTCTGCTGTCCAACTCAGTCTGTAATGACAA